CCCTGGACCGCCTCGTCTCAAGTTATTGATTTTACGTGTCTGGTGGGGTGATTACAGGAGAAGCATTTGGCACGAGGTTCTTCGACAAGGTAAAACAGTAATTGCGACGAAGTTCTGTGTGCAACACGCTTAACTCAACGCAGAAATCCAAACAAAACACGCCAATTTGGTCAATCAAAGGGGTGGCACTTGTTACCATGACAACTCCAGACTGCCTGTCGCTCTAAAGACTTCTCCGTCAACACGCTTTGTATTACCCTAGCGTCACCTCCGTACATTTTATCGGTTTCTTTGGGCCCCTTTGACGAGAAACCACAGTTTTTAAAGCTCAGCAATTGAAAGACAGTTATAAGAAAGGATGGAGAGTGCATTATTCATGAAGAATTAGTTTTTAAATCGAACAAGGCGATAAGCACACTGCGTCACATAAGACGAACAGGTCTCGTAGTCGAATAAACTGTAATTATGATTGTATTGTGGTGGATAGACGGTGTATACAATCAGACCGATAAGATGCTGTTACTTACTTCTTCACAGAATACATAAAATGCCACAGTTTGCCCTCTGAAAAACCACCCAAGTTCTCAAGGTCAGTGGAGAACGTTAAAACAACGAAGATTCAGTCAAACAAAGATCAGGTTTGTGGATTATGGAAAGAAAACTTTGCACAAGCCTAAAAGTTTCATCTGTATTGTTTTTTTTTAAAAATGGAAGCCCTTTTTGCATAGAATATTTGATGTACTTTGTAGCATGTGACTGGTCATTACCGTAAAAGTTCACTCTTACGAGTGGAAATTGTGGCAAAGGCCTATCGCAGCCGTGATCGGATCCATTTATTACCGGTTATTTATCATGGAGATTAGTACATAATCCCAAACACCTCCACCCAGTCTCTCGTGTGTTTTCAGCAAACTGATTTATTAGGTACTAAAAACACCAACCGACTGTGGTTTTTAATCTTGCGCCTCCGACTTACTGTGCAAGCGAATAATGACTCATGATATCGGATTGGCGTGAAAGATCATTCCTCATCTTTCGTTTGTACCTGTTGATGCCATTTAGAGTACCTTTGGAAAACCATGATACATGGTCGTCACTGCAATCATTTCAGGTTCAGTCGTGGAGACACGCCTTTGGAAAGAGGTCAGTATCGAGAGAACGTGTGCCACAGGAATGGTTCGTCGCATTACAAAATTGCCATTGACCGACCGTCTTTAAAATGGGTCATAAGAACACGATTTTAATTGAAACTGGATGCCAAAACATTTGCGGGAGTGAAGTGAATAGATGGATTACGGACAGAGGACCGTTAGTCCCCATCTAGGGTCAATGGAAAGCATTCAAAAGATGGACACGTAGGTTCCAAATGGGCCACTTCTAAACCGAAGAAAGTGGGGTCTCACAAATGCCGCCAATTTGATTACGCAATACAGAGGTACTTCTGAACTCAAATTGATGTTCCACAATTGTATTCTCACAGGCAGTAAGAGGTATTATGGGGTTGACCAGGAACAATGATCCAACGTCGAGAGTCAAGAGAGATGATTTTCTGCATGTGATTGGATCAGACGATTGACAAGCACATATGCATGGGTTTTCTATCCAGTAGAGGTGATCTGATCACGGAGAACAAGTGACTAGTCACTATAACAATGTCCAACTTCTTACTTTACGATTTACTGAAGTGGCGGTAGGAAATTCGACAGCAATGAATTCCTTCAGACTTCGCTAGAAGACAACTTCATCACATTTGGGAAAGTGAATAAGGAAGAAGTAAACGATGTCTTAGACTACAAATCTGATAAACAAAAGGACGTATACCACATTCTAATGTATCTTTCCCATAATAGAATCCGGAATCTGCTGGAATTTAATGATGGTGTGGTTCTAGCAGTTTAATGTATTGTTTAACTACCGTAAATCTCTCTGGTTACCATACGAGACTTGCTTTAGCAAAACTTCAACAGACAATGAGCGAGGCTTGTTTACGGGTTGGTTAAGGTCGATAACATGGCTGAATTTTGTTATTGATTTTTTTCGCGATCGATAATCGTGCCTGTGCACGCTTTGGCGAATTAAACGTTTGTATCCGCTGTCATCATGTAAATTCTCTGTTACGGTTCCCGGCACACAGGTCCGAAACTACGAGGGTAACTTAGTCAATTCTCGCGTTAGCACACTATCGGCTTTCACGATCTCATCCAATGTAAGGGCGTGAGTTCTCATGCGCCGGCTCATAAAATTGTGAAAATCTTGAAAGATGGTGCCTTGGGGATGATGAATCCCCTACATTCTCTCATAGCCAACTCACAGGGAACCTTTTAGATTAAGCTGCCTTTAGTTGGCTGAAATTGTCGGTGGGTTAATTAGGGTTTTTCGGCTAAAGCAAATGGCACATCTGTATTAAAACCCGCGTGTCAACTTCGTACGTGCTTACCTCACGTCAAACGCGGTTTCTTGCAAACAGTATAACAACTGTTCATCATCTGGTTAGATTTGTATGTCTGCCTAAAACCACCGATGCAACACACTAGGGACACCAACTAGCCCTGGGCGGGGCCAATTTTTGGTAGAAACATTGCTCCCTCGACTAGGCTCGTAGTAAATTGTTTGTAGAAGTCAATACAAAGGTACCACCGGCGGGAATCAGGCAACGGCGGGACTCGGACGCAGGCCTACTGCACCACACCCACTCGTTTGCCGCATATTTGCGTCAGAAACCAGGGTTTATCTGAAGAAGTCTTGGTAGAACCCAACCCTGTTTGAAACTCTCAAATCGCCCTATTAGCGTCGACAACAATGCCACCTAATTGTCTTGTTTGATCTCCTTCAAGCAGAACTCGGGCCTCATATTTAATTTCACCACATGCATTAAGTACTAATTGATTTCTGTTCTTCTTGTCCGTCTGTGGAGTTTGTGGCCGCCGTTTGTTTGGCCAACTTTCCTTTCTAAATCACCTCATTTATTCTACTCTGGTAGTGGGATATTGAATTCAGGAGGCGTCATTGATTGTTTGATTTAAACAACAGGTAATGCTTCGTTAACGCCACGTGGATTTTTCTGGTGTTAAACTACTGAACATATCAAATGGACATTTGACATGCTTGTTGTGGGCCCCAGCTTGTGGTCTTGAACCACGTCGGGTCCACTGAATTGACTCTGGCCTGATTATGCTTCCCTGATACCAGCGATGAAGAAAAAGACCGGAGAGGACGTGGACACAACCGTTTACTTCAGAGCTCAACCAAAACTGGTGTCGTTGCGTCGTGGGTGGAGTTTGCGCGTGTATACTTATACTTCATGTGTGTGAGTCATACGTGCGCCAACATCGAGACCTAGGTGTGAGGATAATCCAAGATAAATATCAGCGTGAATGAGGGGGGGTTGAGGATCCGCGCGGCTGGCGAAATGCTGAGAAAAGGGGAACCCTGTGTCGGAGAATGGAGCAACCGGATAAAGGGGTTGTATAAACACGATGCACAACAAGTTCAAGTATCACTCTACCTTGGTGCACAAGTGTTTTGACTCATTTCGAAATCACTCCAGTTAATTTTCTGAGAAATTCATTTCAACGGTGAACCTGGATTCGCCAGTATTTCTAACCGCTTAAAAATATCGAGGCTAATTACTATATCCAATGTGATCTTTGGTTTGTAGCAGTTTCCTGGCCTACAGTCTTCTAAAAAAGGTCACGATCCGTTCTATAAAATATATCCAGAGATCGCTCAAATTTAATAATTTATCGCGTCAAACTTTACTTTTAAGGGATAAGTAAATTGTAGAAATAACATCTGAATTTCTTTTGTGCTTTGAAGACACAAATGAGTGCCTGCAGTCGCATTTCCGAAAGTGTATCCGCGGCTGGTGACGCTTGCGTTGACTGGTTCTCACGAAGAATATTACTTATAGCAAATCAGTCACACAAGACACGGTAATTGGCTGCGGTTATTATCTACTTGCGGCGCGATTTCCTCAATTTACTTGTTTGTACCCGACAGTATCCATTTGAACTATCACATTGTCACGCATTTTGCAAATCGTTAGTAGTATATGCTGTTAAAATGATTTCGCTACCAACGCCTAATATCTACTAATCTGGGAATTGAGATCCTTCACAATCGGAACGCAACCAAGACCCCTGATGGATTTTAAGCTCCGTTCATTCACTGTAGATTATTTCCAAAATTCCGGAACGACACTACGAAGAATTCTGCTTGGTTTCGACAAATTTCTGGCGAGTGACAAGTCCAGTATCACGGACATGTTTGACGTTTTGTGAAACCAGGCAACAAAACAGACCAGTGATTTCTCTAAAAAGTAAACCAAAAAGAGTATTTATAAACTTACTTAATAGGGCTTTTGTATGGTTGTTCAGTTTCTAGTTCATGTACACTTAGAGCACCTGTTTAGTGAGCAGCCTTATGGCTTCGGCCACAGCACGCCCTAGCTTCTTTAAAATGATCTTTTCCTTTGCCTTTCTCATGAAACAACTTTCACTACGTGACTAATTCACAAATAAAGCAACTCGAAAACGGCGTCGCAGCGACGCAGTGAAATGTCAGCCTCTTTTTTTAGCTCCATTCCAGGTAAAACCTCGAATTATATTTGCTCTGAAACTGACTGCTTGGGAAAGTGAAGGCAAAGTATTACAACCTGTCTCAGACACCGCCGCAGCAGCTCTTGCTAAATCCACCTCTGAATAGAGACGTCAGTTAGGAGGCTACAAAGAGGCAGATATGCAGCTGAAAAGGCTTACTTGTGGGTCATCAAGCTTAGTTAAACGGTTTTTCGAAGAGGTATTTGACCCTAGTACTTGACTGATAGGTCTTCCTGTAGATAGGTCACGGTTCTAAGACAGTAAACTTATGAACACGTCTGTATTTTGGCCAAATAACCATTATCTAAGTATAAACCAGCTCTCTTTCTTGATAACACTTGAAGAAACCGTTCTCCTGCAATGCACACATGGCAACTGCCTCTTCAACAGGCTTGAGACCCATTAAAATCCGTCTGCGGCAATATTGACGGCCCCAGGCTCGAGTCCAATATTAAACCACGCTTTCCTGGCCTGGACGTTGCCGGGTAGTTGTTGAGCCGCACCAAATTCATTAGCAGCGCATCTTGAGCTCAAACCGCGTGTGCCCTGGAGCACAGCCCTGGCCGCTGGACGCCCAGTTTTCGGAGAGGGTGGTTCGTGTCCGATGCCAGACCTCCAACAGCCAGGCGATTGTGCGTGCATCTCGATTGTTTGCTCGAATAATTTGACTTGTAACAAAGACTTAAGACGACATGCCGCTACCACCTTGCACAGCTGTCCGCTAACTGGCACCCACAAACCACTTGCCACTATATCTCAAGCAATAACCCAGAAACAAGAACTGCGAACATGTATATACCTCTAACCGCTAGCTATGAGTTTCTGCAGTTTCCGGAAAACACGTATATGACAAGTGGTTTTTATGCGCACATTAGTGGCACCTAATCTAGCTAGTCAAGTCTCTCGAGCTAAACCTCCTTGATGCGATTTTAGGCCCAGAAACGAAGTCACTTGTGTTCTCTGGCAATATTTGCCGCATTATCGTAATGCATTGAAATGCAATGTGGTCAGGCCGTGCTAGCGCGAACTTTAAAACGATGTGTGTGTGGAGTCACGTAGGGTTGTTGACCAATCAAACGAAGCTCTCAATTCAGCAAAAGGAGAGTCGCTCGAAGTGTCCGAGGGGTTGGATTCTTGGACGAGCTGACGAAAGTGCAGCTTACACCAGAGGAACTGTAGACAGCACATCTCTCTCTCCCTCTCTGTTAATCAACGATGTTTCCTAAGTAACTAACTGCTTAGAGTGAGTGGCTAGTACCGTTTTGAGTAAATCTTGCATCAGGGGCAGAAAGGGTGCTTACGTAGACCTAATTACCCCATTCACGATTTCTTTCCTCCTGGGTAACTGAAGTCTAGGCGGCAGTTTGTGAATGTGTGGTTGGCGAAGTCCATCATATAATTCCCTGAAGATGATGGAGTGTGTACGTGGTTATAGCGCATCAAAATGGGATGGAATTCCTGCTGTGATTAGGATGGGTGAGCTTTTTGATCCAGTCAGTATTCGAGTTGTCCTAACAGGTTCTGTTGATGGAATGGATGTCTAAATAACATTCCAGTTTTCCCACTTCAAACTGAGTTCTGCATTTTTCTCGTCGAGGTAATTGGTTGACTCATTCACATGCAGGAATGTCGTCCATAAGACAGGTAAGTACAGCTTAGATGCTTGGTAGAGAGCCACCATCACGTCCATATGGAGATGTTCTCAAATCCAACTGGAAACCCCACCTTTGTGTCTTTTTTATTTAACTTAGTTAGGGCTTGTATCTTTTCAACCCCAATTGCTGGAAATATCTCGTACTAGAGATTTTGTCCCGGTTTTCTACGTCTTCCTGAATACGCGTCCGAGTGGCCGCCTAACGGAAACAACCATTCGTCATTTACTACGTTCAACGCAACGGGTTTTTTTCAATTCGTGAGCTGAATCGAAAGATTGGGCCTCAGTCTCTTCCCAATACGTTTCTCTCAAATAACAAAGTAACGTGCCCGCAAGTACACCGGTACCAAAAAACCCGGTTGCGGTACCCTCTTGCTAATTTTTCTGCGTGATTTGAGAGCCAAGGAAGATAATTTTAGGTGAAAGGGCACCTCAGCAGCGGTTACCGTGTCACCACACGGCAGAACCAAGTGACACGTCGTAAAACCACCGATTTCGTTAAAAGCGCGTGTGAAAACGGAACAGGTCATGCACACACGCCTTGCAGCACCCTTCGTAGCCTTAATTTTCGTTTACCGGATTCACGTAGAACCTAGAGTTGCCGACTTAAGTAGAACCTGGTGTTTTGGCCTGACAGGTTAGTAGTCAAAACTCCTGGGAAAGATGTTAACAAAACGCCTACAAACGACCTAACATGGAGCAATTTGACATCTATTTAACGCCTCCGGTCATTCTAGCTGTCAGACGCACATTACAACTGTATATTTACTGACGAACAGTCATCGCCATACACGAAGTAAACAGGTCATGTTGCCAAGATAACTGTTTTTCCGACCTCCCTCCATCGTTATTTCATCTCCTAGTAAGTTCTTCCGTTCAATGAGTGCCAACAACCAATGGGATCCTAACACGGCCTTGCTAATTACCACAGTAAAACAACACTTCATCATCGTTAAAGGGAAGCAGAGCGGTTATTCAAGTTCCATGGAAACTTGGCGACCTACCGTACTGGCATGGGCTACGGTTTTGGGATCAATGAATCCCTAATGAGACCGGTAATCAAAAGGAGGATGTATGAGGCCGTAGGATCCCATTACTAGCCAGTAAATCTGAACCAACAGACCGCTGTCAACCCAAAGATTTACTGACGGCTTCCTGGATAATACTGAGAAACTCTTAAATGGCACTACTTCCGTAGCATTAGAAGAGAACATACACATTGACCTCTTTTACAGTCGGTGAAACACACTGGCCGGAATTCGTGAATAACTGTTTTGCTCAGATTTTCAACCACATTTGCCTCAAATCCTGTTTGCCAATATTGATTAATTCTGGCAGTGGCCTTTACAACAACCTTTAGGGATTCTCCACGTAAGATCTGTCCCTAATGGTCAACTAAAGGTCAAATCACGCCTCAATAATGCCTGAGTTTAGTTTAAGGGTCACTTGGTCCAGCAAACAAATGATGATGGAGGTTTCGATGTTTTACGCCAGGAAACCAATTGCGTCAGTGATCAAGTTATGCTCCTTTAAATTACTGCAATTTCAAACGAAAATGGCCTCACAAATGCGAGCCCATTTATTCTAAAGCCTGCAACTGTATTTATCCCAATTTCGGACATGGTTAATGTGTCATCGATAGTAATTGTCCAGCAAATTACTTCCTGTGGGACGGACAAGCGCCATTTTGCGAAAGCAATCAGCCCCTTCCGTTACAAACTTCTTTTACACCTTCCAGAAAATTCATTGGCTCCCCAAAATGGACTCGAAAACATTGGAATTCTTCGATAAAATTACGCCTTGTAGAGAAATGGATGTGAATTATTTGGTGTACGCGCTATCGTTAGTTCGGTGGTGGCGATTCGCCAGTTCTAAAACATCTGATTGGCTCAAATGCTAGACTATTTGAAGCTACCTCTGACTATACTCATGATTTGGAAAAATGAAGATTTAAAAGCACGATAATTACCAAGGCAATCATTTATTTTAGGCTTTGAGACACTTTCACACAAGGAATCGAGTCAGTGTAAGATTGATTCATCGAACTAAAGCTACAACTTTGTCATTTAGCGAGCGTTCGTTCAACTTGTACACCGCCTGTGTTCTGGATCCTATTGCGAAGCTCTCCGATTCTGATTTGAAATCGCCGATCAAAGTAATTGCAATTTGTGACGTGCTTTTTGTGACTAACATGCTCAAGACTCGTAATAAAACAAGTAATTTTGTAAATCAGGGCCGCGTACCACATTCGTCGTTGACATTCATACCAAATGAGCCGATTTTGAGGCACCAGGTGTCAGCTTTCATCTGGGGCCGTCTTGTTTTCCATCGTAATCATTTAACTGTCAAGAAATCTCCGTTTAAACGGAAATGTGTGCTTGAATTAGTATTTTTTCAAAACTCACTTTGACTTTCACGTTTTGTCTGGTGCTTAAAAGTGCAGCAAAATGCCAGTTTTGGCCGCAACTACCCAATCAAAGACTAAGATATACTCGGTTTGGGTGGGTATCAATAATGCTTCACTAATTTCGAGGTTATGTAGCGGTTTTTCCGTCATAATAAAATCGCTGTTTGCCACGTGATGTATGCGTTTACTCTTGTTTCACGCCTCAAAATGAGTAATTAGTGAATAGATCTTTCGCTTGTTCGAGCAGTTGCCGCATTGTGGACATCTGGAGTTTGGTTCACGCCAATACCTCCAAATGGTCGGGCTTACTTCACTTGTTTAAACAAAACTTGGGAAATCAATAATCATGAATCAAAACCTTATTGATAGTGGTTTGTTTGCTTCTTAATTAAAACAAGCGGGAAAATGATGAGAGCAGTATAACAAATTGAAACTTTTTACAAATGTTCTCTTCACCAATCACCAAAAACAAAGATTTCTCATCTGGTACTCTGTATTCCTTGATTTACCTAGCCTAAGCATGTTATTTAAAAGTCATGCAAAATCGGTTCATATGTCAAATTTTCGCGAGTCCTTGACCAGAAGAACGAGTAGCGATGGAATGACACGTTAGATTTTCCCAATTGGCTATTTAGGGACTCATCAGGCACCTGTTTCAGCCAATCAAATGGTCGGAAAATTGTCCACACATGAGTTTCAGTTGAGAATAGGAAAACCTTATTATGTAAACGCTGCAAAGTACACTGGCAATGACAACAATCACCGCATCCATTGTGTGGATGTAACATTTGAACCCGCGTTGTTTGGTATTAGAAACCGCGTCTGATCTGCACTTTAGATCAAGTCAGGCAGGATTTCTGCATTCATAAACCATGAAAAACTTACGCACACATGACTACAATGCAAATGCCAAATGTCTGCATGGTAGAATGTCATTGTTGGGTCAGGTTTGACTGGTGGAATGCGGTGAGAATGTGTCGATGGCTGACAGGAGACCAGCAAGATTATTTTTTTAAAGAAATAGTGGAATTTTGAAAAACAAGCAGACACGCATAGGAACCCCCCCCTAGACCACAGATTGCAACGGGATTTACGTAAGACCACGCACGTGTTGAAGCAATGTGACCACTACCGCTATGGGTGGGGATTAGGAAGAACCGGGGATCAACCTAAATGCAAATTCGGCGAAATTTGAATTAAAAAAATGCAACTAGTAGATAACGAATAGTGTTTGTTAGACAAAAGCCGTTGAGACATAGTTTTATTTATCAAATCATTTTTGTCGGATGAATGGTTCCCCTTTCTGCTGTCGGTTTACGCAAAACTAAATTCTAGATTGAAAATTTTGAACTAGTTCCGTACCAACACGATCGGCTCTTAAAGGCATGGAGATGAAATGTCAAGTTAAAAAGAATGCGTATTTTCCGCACTTGTTGGTATTTGTGTTCAGACATGGCGCGAAATTTGTTCCGAATGCGGAAAAGGTGTTGTACCAGAAAGGACAGCCCAGCGGGGATTTCACGATCCAAAAACGGCAACTTCAAACTCACAAACAATTCAAGTCACTTGAATCATCTTCTT